AGGAAAACAGGACCTCAAGATTAAGGGCAACAACAGAAGACTTAAGCCTCCATTTCATGTGCTAGGAACAAAATAAAGGCAAAATCATAAGGAACATGAACCCTGCCCCCAAATGATGTTGTTAGAGCATCCTAATTCTAATATTATAAAATGATCATACTTCCACTCCTGAGATATGTTAAATAAAATTATATCCTTTTGCTTGCTTTCCCCATGATGAAATTGAACAGTTGTAACGAAATCCAGTTTAAAATTCGAGATATACTTGGGAAGATACGCCGCTGAATCTGTTTATCCATTCTAAATATCCCAAAGCTGTTGAATTAGAATAGAATAGAATAGAATAACAGAGTTGGAAGGGTGCTTGGAGATCTTCTAGTCCAACCCCTTGCCTAGGCAGGAAATCCAACACTGAACAGACAAATGGTTATCCAACATCTTTTTCAAAACTTCCATTGTTGGAGCCTTCACAACTTCTGGAGGCAAATTGTTCCTTAAGATTTTAATTTTAATTAAGATTTTCAGAAATGTTACTTCACTCTAGTTGAACAGATTGTGAATATCCCTACATGTTTTTTTTTTACATCCTAACCATTCCCTCCAGAATACTGTACTCAAGACCAGTCCATATCATTATAAAAGCTCTGCTCGTGTAATTAAGTAGATAATTGTATTTTTTTTTACAACTCTGGGAGACATTACAGAAGAAAAGAGATTCCACCCAGAGGCACGGGTGTCTACGGCAATGTCAAAATGATGCACAATGTCATGGCAAGAACCCTGCCCTGCTCTATCCCTACGTCTGATGCAAATCTGTGAGTTGTGAGGTTCCATCGGGGTGTTCAGGTTGCAGGTCTCATCTTTGTTCCAGAGATAGCTGTTTTCTATAGGTTGGTGGTCATCAGGATAGCCTTATCAAGATTAAAACATTTAACCATACTCACATGTCTCTAGGAATTGGGGAGTGGGGGCGGATGAGAGGCATATCTGTATCAGTGGTGGGATTCAAAATTTTTTACTACCAGTTCTGTGGGCATGGCTTGGTAAGTGTGGCGTGGCTTGGTGGGCATGGCTTGGTGGGCGTGGCAGGGAAAGGATATTGTAAAATCTCTATTCCCACCCCACTCCAGGGGAAGGATACTGCAAAATCTCCATTCCCTTCCCACCCCTGCTTTCCAGCTCTGTTCTCCTATGCAAGGCAACAAAAGAAGACCCGGCCAATCAGCTGGGACTTGGGAGGCAGAGAATAGATGGGGATGGGGCTACTCAGATGTGGTATTTGCCAGTTCTCCGAACTACTCAAAATTTCCGCTACCAGTTCTTCAGAACTGGTCAGAACCTGCTGAATACCACCTCTGATCTCTATCCATACAGCTGTGGTGATATTAACTAGGATATAGCATTGGGATTACCCGTAGTCCTTGAATTGCAATCATTTATTTAGCAACCATTTGAAATTACAATGACACTAAAACAGTGACTTGTGACCAGTCCTTGCATTGATGACAACTTCATCCCCACAATCTTGTGATCAAAACTCGAACACTTGGCAACCAGAATGTAGTTATAATATTTGCAGCATCCCGGGGATCACATGATCACCATTTGTGACTTTCCCAACTGCCTTCCAACAAGGAAAGTCAACCGGGGAAATTAGATAACAGGAGTCATCTGCAACACACAATGTAAGAACTGAAACAACCACTATGTAGGACAAACAGGCAGAAGACTGGCAGAACGCATCCACAAACACCAGCTGGCAGTCAGAAGGCATGATGAAAATTCTTTCATTTCACAACTTATATACAGATCTAACCATAATTTGTGTGTGACCATCTTAGACCAGGCTAGGTCCAAAAATGCCAGGGGATTTCTAGAAGCCTGGCACTCTGACAAATCAGTCATCAATAGACACATAGACATTAACAACATCTATAGACGATGCAAAAGAGCCAACCAGCCCAAAAGAGATAAAAAAGACTCCAGCCCCTCTCCACCAGTAATCAGCACCCAGATAGCAATAGCAACAGCACTTATACCACTTTTATAGTGATTTACAGCCCTCTCTAAGTGGTTTGCAGAGTCAGCATATTCCCCCCCAACAATCTGGGTACTCATTTTACCGACCTTGGAAGGATGGAAGGCTGAGTCAACCTTGAGCCTGGTGAGAATCGAACTGCCAAATTGCAGTCAGCAGAAGTAGCCTGCAGTACTGCACTCTAACCACTGTGCTGCCGTAACAGATCAGCATAGATTAACTTCAAGGTTAACTTCAGACCAACAGTCAAGTAAACAATACCCCAGTCATGAATCTGCCAAAGAGCCATCAATAAACAGCCCAACCAAAGAATCTCTAAGATCACCCCCACCCACCCACACTGATAGGGCAAGCCACTAGAATACAAACTGACAGCCAACAGCACTCCTTACTGGCACCGATGATGTTTCCTAGTTAGGGTAATGAAATATCTGCAAGAAAACACGCAAGCTCAGAGAGCACCAAGGAGGTTGAAATGAATTCAACCCAGAGCTACAAATATTCTCCTTCATTGAAATTAGATTTATTTAACATCCATGTGATTCACTTAACAACCATGTGATTCACTTAACATCCATGTGATTCACAACACTTAACATCCATGTGATTCACAACACTTAACATCCATGTGATTCACTTAACTACTGGAGTCAGAAATGTAATATAATTGGGTGCAACTCACTTAACACCTGACCTGGCTAGCAACAGAAATTTCAATCCCAATTGTGGTTGTAAGCTGATTACCTGGACAATAAATGCTTCTGTTGAGCTGCTCCCAGTTTATTTTTGGCTCCGTTTGGCATACTGTTTGTGTTGTATTACTGTGTGCATATGAATTCTGTGTTTTCTTGAAAACTGATCGAAAAATAGATGCGTGTCTTAAATATAGGAAACAGAAAAAGGGACTTACAAAATAAACTCACATACAAAGGAATTACTTGGTGGTGAGCTCTACTAGTAGTCTGGCTCCTACAGTCCATAATATTGAAAACAAGTCTGTGCTTAATTTGAATGCTAGGAATACTTAGTGTTGGGTGGATACTCATATTTTAACTACTGCCTATGTGAAAAGAGTAAAATGAATGAGTTTTCCTTCAACTCTAAAATCCCATCATCAAAGAATAATTTGTGACCATGAATAAACTACCTGTCTCCTAAGTATGGTGATAATAGGTGTTGACAGAAGTTCAATATTAAAAGAAAGGCTACATTTTCCCTTCTCCACCTCTTAGTTTTAATCCAGCTCCACACCTTTATAAGGATAAAAATGTTTTATATTTAAATTTCCCTTTCTGTCAGGTTTATAATGATTTTATGTCGTAGTGAATGGAATGGAAGGTGATACAATAAAGGAAATTAAATGGCATGTTAAATGTGGTTGGCAGGCATTTGGCAAGCTAAGCATAATTTTCAAGAACAACCTCCCCCGATGCCTGAAGAGAAAAGTTTTCAATCAGTATGTGCTACCTGCTCTAACATATGCCAGTGAAACATGGAAACCCTATTTTCACAATTCATACAAATACTAAGAGTGGTGCAAAGAGCCATGGAAAAATACATGCTTGGCTTTTTCAAGACAAGATAGAAAGACCTATATGTGGATTAGAGAACAAACTGAAGTATACGATATTAGCAAGAGGGTAAAAGAATTGAAATGAAAATGGGCTGGTGCAGCATAGCAAGAACTGATGGCGGGTGGGCCAAGGTAGTCATAGAATGGATCCCACTTGATAAAAAGCATCCATGAAAGCGACCTAAAACAAAATGGATCAATGACATCAGCAAGTATTGCGGGCCTTATTGGCAAAAGAAAGCTCAAGACTGTATAGGTTGGAAACAGAGGTGGTATTCAGCGGGTTCTGACCGGTTCTGGAGAACCGATAGCGGAAATTTCGAGTAGTTCAGAGAACCAGTAAATACCATCCCTGACTGGCTCTGCCCCCATCTATTCTCTGCCTCCCGAGTCCCAGCTGATCGGCTGGGTCTTCCTTTGTTGCCCTGCACAGGAGAACAGAACTGGAAAGCAGGTTAGTGGGGTGGGGAGGGAATGGGGATTTTGCAGTAACCTTCCCCTGCCACGCCCACCAAGCCACGCCCACAGAACTGGTAGTAAAAAAACATGCAGAACAGGCCTTCATCCTGCAGTGGATAGGCAATGGCTAAGATGATGATGATGATAAAGATGATGATGATGATGAAGAAGATGATGATGATAGGTCGGTGTAGGGTTTGCTATGACTGAAAACACAGAGCACTATTTTGTGAGGTGGGTTTCATAAAACTCTTATTTATGGGAATTTTTTGTGTGTGTTTGCTTGTGTTTGTGGGTCTTAGGAGAAGGAACCTTAACTTCTGTGTTAGCCATGAATTGTAAGAATAGGATTCTTAGGAGACAATAAATGCTTCTGTTTTAACACTGTTCTGTTTTGTGAGTTCATTTTGCCCTAAAAACAACATTTTTAAAATTATAAATAGGATTTCTACTAATTTTCTCCTCCTTGGTATGACTATGTATATATACTGATTACATCTAGGTGTTTTTTTTTTTTTTTGTTATGCATGCTTTTTACTGATACTACTATAACTTATCTGATACTAGTAAAATAGGATCCTAACAACATGCGTACTCTCAGTTTACTGAATGTGGTCAGTAAAGGAAGAAAAAACTTCCTTCACTTTCTTCGTAGCCTGTAATAATGTGAGGGAAACAATTTTCAGACATTATGTGTTCTGAACAAAGCTTGCAAACAAAGCAATTCCTATCTGCACTTTGAAAAGCACTTGTGTCCCTGAGGCAAGCCAAACCTGTGAAAGTTCCTAAATTAAAATGCTAAACCAATTAAGGACATCTCCACAAGTGTATATAAGCATTCGCTTTGAGGTCTTGGGCTAGAGGACTGCACTGCTCTGCTTTGCTTCTGTTGCACCTGTTCCCTTGGATCAACCATCCCGTCTTGTCCCAATGACTCACCAGGTGTCAGCATCCAGGAATGCCTTCCTAAGGGGAAGAGGGTTTAGCTCTGTCTCTGCTCTTGGTGGATTTAGTGGACAAAGGACCTATGTCGCCTCCGCGTACCATCCCATGGGCAGCAGAGGTGGGGTCCATGGTTTCAGCAGTCAAAGCCTTTCTAACATAGGTGGAAGAGGAAGAATTGCAACTGGCGGTTACGAACCTGGATATTATGGTGGCTACAACTATGGTTGTGCAACTCATGGTAGCCCTGCCTTTGTTGGCCCAATGGGTCATTATGGTCCTAGGGTTTATGATCCAACTGGAAGCTGTGGAATTTTTGGTGGATACTCAAACGGCAGGGGCGATGGCATCCATGGAGTTAGAATCAATGAGAAGCTTTTGAAGCCATTGCCCGTGGGAGTTGACCCTCAAGAACATATTCTACGAGATCATGAAAGAGAAGAGATGAAAAACCTCAACAACGAGTTTGCCTCCTTCATTGATAAGGTGAGGAAATAGGTTTCTCTTTGACTCGAAGTGTTTTAAAGAAAAACGCAGTAGTCACATTAGATATGTTAACTATTTCACCAGGTATCCTTTCAGCTTTTGGCATACATTATCTTATCTCTTAATATACTTTGGTCTATTCTTTTTTTTAAAAAAGTCTGAATTTCCACATTTTCTTTAATGCCCATTTTTACTAGATTGTTTAGCAATAAAATTTCAGTAACTTAAAATTTAATATGTTGATCACTCGGTTACTTAACTCAGAGAGCAGTTCTAAAATGGAGAGATCCATAGTAGAGCTTCTGCTGCTTCTTAAGCAATCTTGGTCTGTGTTAGCCAGAATACAAAGCTATGGCACTGGGGGAATCTTCTTTCTCCTTTCATATTGGTTTACTTAAGGGAGCCATTCAATATGCCGCCTATAACACTGGAACAATTTCTTGTTCTGTTGGAGGAAGTATCAGGAAGTGAGGGTATAGGTTCCTGATGAGCTTGATCATCTGTGAAATACACAAGCCAAAATATTGTACACTCTTTGATTTATAGCATTGTAAGCTTTTGGGGGTTACTGGTGGGAAAAATTCCCACTGTTACTCAAATACATCCTCTTTGGGCTTCTTTTTTCACTCTAAGGAGAGATTGCAACATAGAACTAAAGTCTAAGTGTTTACTTTTCAAAGTTGGCAACTAATAACATTGACTCAGAATTATTCAATAAAGAGCAATGTTAAAAAATTGCTTCTTTTGAAATGTGAATCTACTGCGTAAACCAAACCTTGTGCCCAGTCATGATCATTCGCCCATCTATTGAATCATTAGTCTGTCATTTGAGATTCTACATCATGTCATCATTTAATTTTTTTTAAAAAAATATCCTTCAAATATCCATTTATTTTGTGCCCAAGTTTCCTACTATTCAATCTGGTATACAACTTCCCTATGTATGCATATTTATCAATTATCTACCTATCATCTATCATCTATCTATATCTGTCCATCCGTCCGTCTGTCCATCCATCCATCCATCCATCCATCCATCCATCCATCCGTCCGTCTGTCTGTCTGTCTGTCTGTCTGTCTGTCTGTCTGTCTGTCTATCTATCTATCTATCTATCATCTATCATCTCTCTATCTCTCTGTCTCTATCATGTATTATCTATATCTGTTTGTCTGTGGATCTATCTATCATCTATCATCTATTTCTCTATCATCTATCTAACATGTACACACACACACACACACACACACACACACACACACACACACACAGAGTTTCTCCAAATATAATATGTATTTTTGAGCCAGAAATATGTCAATTATTAGCACACTCTTGGCTTTATATTTCTACTTATATAGCAATGGATTTCATTTAGATACTAAGCTAGAGGAAACAAGATGGTTACTTTGTCTGGCATCATTATTTTCATCTGATCCTTTAGACTTTTTATTTATCTCTGTATTCTTTCTTTTTCTGATTGGAACTTTAATTTACTTTCCTAGATGAGTGTACTGAAAGGACTTTTCTGTTGGAAAGGATTCATAGTTTACAAATGAAACTAGCTTTAGTATTCTATGCAGTATTATCGATTGGAAAAGCAAATCAAGAATGTAGAATATGTGCTCTTTTAATCTGTTTTGGATTATTTTATTTTTTAATACTACATAATGCACTCTTGCCAGTATGATATATACCAGATGGGTTGGATTTTGGCTCTCAACCCAGCACACTTGCTACGAACCATACGAGATGTGTTCCAATTATTGATATTTATTTATATTTTATTTAGATCTATTTCTACAAATGCCCATCTCAGCAATACAGCTCTGGAAAGCTTAGAAGAATTAAAATAAAATATAAACATAATATTAAAAAAGTATTGTTTCCAACCATATGAAAATGTCTCATGAAAACATCTTTCATCATGGGCTCAATTACTTTCCTGGCCCCCATGCTTGGGAAAATTAATATGGGAAATTTCAATAATGAGAAACAATAGCAATTTTGACTTATCTACAAAGCTGTGTTAAACATTTTACTCAGGGGTGGGATACGACAGGGTTAACTATCGGTTCGGGATTTACGAGCTTCCCTGCACGCTGTGAGCCACACGCCTGTAAATCATTATCAGCATGCTGTGTGCAGAGAAACAGCCTTTGAAACAGCCCTCTTTTCCTGCTTTTTTAACTGCAGCTGTGCCTCGTTCAGCAGCTGAAGGTGAAAAATCAGGAAATAAAGATCAGGTAAGAGCCCGGGTGGGCAAAAATATCAGCAGACATAGAACTGGTTCTATGTCTGCTGCTCTTCAGAGCTACTGGTTCTACAGAGGTGGACAGAACCGGTAGAAACCCACCCCTGATTTTACTGAGACTTAGGCTTTCTAGAACTTTTCATACATGACTTACTTTGCTAGCAAAAATATGTTTACAATGTGCATTGTTATATGTGCTTAATATGCATTTTGCTGTAAATGTTTATGATACTTAAAATATCACTGGACTACGCAATTCAATACTAATAAAGTTTGTAACTCAGCTTACTCAAAGAGAAAAGGGTTCCAGCAACAACCAAGCAAACCACTGCGATGCCAAACTGATGATGCATTAGTGATAATTAGGTCATTCAGATGCTACCATTAGGTCTTTGTACTCCAAAGTCTTTTTGGAATCACAGTATGTGATGATAACATTGACCACATGTGTATTTGGGTCCCTCTTTCCTTTTCTGTGGATACACAGTATGCCTCATTGTTTGTCTTGGAAGTGCATATCCTAAAGCTCCAGAACTTCAGAAGATTGGCCTCTGGTCCCAGAGATCTCTAGAGGTTAAGAAATTGTAATGTGTACTATGATAGAAGTAAGAAATTAATAAACACATAATTAGAGAGGAATCATATCCATAATTAACTATATTTAATTTTAATGAAATGTATATAGAATGAAAGCAGACCAAAGTAAATTTCATTTCAGAAATATAGTTAAGTCTTGAACCATTCTCTAATTTATGATATTGTTGGATTCTGGTTTATGAAATAGGTCCGAAACCTAGAGCTACAAAACAAAGTACTTGAGACCAAATGGAACCTTTTGCAAGAACAGGTCATTCCAGCCAAGAAAAGCCTTGAACCGTGTTACAACAACTTCATCAACAACATGAGAAAGGAACTGGAGTGTTTATTAAATACCCAAGATCATCTAAAAAACGAAAATGCTGCTATTGAACAAGTGGTGGAGGACATCAAGTGCAAGTAAGGGTGATCAGGAGGGAAAAAAAGATATAGTCTCAGATTCTTTAATGTTCTCAGCTGGAGTACCCATTGGCACTAACATGGAGCTAAGTAACTCATTTTATTCAATACTTTCGAAGCACATAGCAATTGTCTCAATTAAAAAGAAGAGACCAGCTACGCAAATTGAAATAAGGTTTTTTTTTCAACTTTTGCTTTCATGCCTTGTGAACTGGAAAATATTTAAAAGACTTAAAAAGGGAGTTAAAGCAAGGTGGAATTAATGTAATATAATCTACAGGAGATAATGTCCTGTAATGCATTCATAAAAATCTTGAAAATTCTGTATAAATTTACTTCATATCATTTTATGGGAAAGGTAGTCTTTAACCTTTTTTGGCTTGCGATGACTCACAGAGAGTCATGCTTCGAATGGTACACAGCTCTTATTCCATGTTTCCACAGATATGAACAGGAAGTCAAAAGACGCACAGATGCAGAAAATGAATTTGTGCTGCTCAAGAAGGTAAGATTTCTGGATTAGTGACTTAAACTAACTAAAATTCTACTGCGAAAGAAGGCCTTCCTCCCTTCCTCCCTTCCTCCCTCCCTCCCTCCCTTCCCAGGGACCATACCCATTCTCTATTGCTGTAAGAAATCACTTACAGATTACAGGTAATCAGAGTTGGAAGGGAATTTGTAGGTCATCTAGTCCAACCCCCAGACTTGCCATATTCCCCAATCAGTGATTCTTAAGGTGCCATTTTACCTATGATAGATGGACCTCTCTCTTTTTTTCGTCAGGAAACGAAAGGCATCCTCACATTTTCATCATAGAAAAAACACACAAGGTGGTCTGCTTTTGTCTTAACTTCTATCAAAAGTAAATCTGCTAACAGTGTGCAGTATCCAGTATGTAACAGTATCCAGAACACTGGGAACAATTCAGATCCCCGCATTTTGAAAAGTATAATAGAGCCGGAACAAATACAGATGAGGGAAATCAAACACAAACTAAAGAGGATTTCACTCATGCCCTCAAAAGACCTGTGTGAAGATCCTTCAAGACACCAGTAGGGTGAAGAGGCTGTTCAAATTTCAGGAAAATCTCATTCCAGAGGGCAGGCACTGCTACAGAGAAGTGATCTTCCAGAGTCCTGATATATGACATTTTTAAAATCAAAGATACCAGAGCATGCCAATTCTGCCAGATAGGTTTGGCCATGGAAGACAGGCAGTCACTCAAGTAATCAGGCCTGGTGCCATATTGGGCTTTATGGGCAATGATCAGCAACTTGAATAACATCTGGAAGTAAACTGGCAACTTGTGCAGCTCCCAAAGCGGAGGTGCTCACCATTGCCCACAATGCTTCATTATGAACCAACGGCAGCTTCTGAACGGCCTATATGGATGGCATTAAGTACAGTGCGAACAGAGCTGTGAGGTGACTTAAGACAGGAGTGATTGTCTGAAAAGCCCCCTGATCTAAGAAAGTCTGCAACTGGCACACCAGATGAAGTTACACAGGCCTTCCTGGACACAGTTGCCAGTCCAAGAAGATACCCCAAATTGTGTGACATCCTTGAATGGGGAAGATAGTATGGAATATTTGTCCTACTTTCCTTTTCTATTTCATCAGACTTCCTTGCTGCCTGTTTTTATAATTTATTTTGCTCTATTTTGAGCAAACCAAAACCCCACCAGCTTTCAAATGGGTTTACCTTCCCACTTCAGTCAGCAGCCTCTCCAGTGTTGTGAATTGAGGGCATTCAGTTAAGCCAAGACAGGCTAGAATAGATTCTTTGGGATATGCATCTGGGTCTTTAAGTGAAAATGTCAGGCTCTATTTATCTCCAGTTGCACCCCAAGGATCTACCCTCCTGCTCTGTCTAATGATAGGGTTGCCTGGACATAGACAATATTTCCAAATTGAAAAATGTTTAATTAACTCTTCTATCATCTTCAGGATGTAGACTCCATTTCTCTGAGCAAGTCAGAACTGGAGGGGAAAGTACGTTTGCTCAGCGGAGAATTGGAATTTCGCAGCGGTATCTACGCGGAGGTAAGAACAACCCTGGGATTATTTCAGATAGAATTGACTCACCAGGGAAAGAATATGAACATGTATTCCACCAGTCCAAACAAGCTTTCTTGTTAATTTGGATTTCGCATGCCACCAGGAATAGGAAAGACCAGGAAGGACAGGAATCCTTCTTACAGTGATCTATAATTTTCTAAATAAAAACAGTTGGATAAAATTAGATTCACAGGCGTTTTTTTCATCTTACTGTATTCATTATATAAAAAAGCAATGCCCACTGATGGACAGAAAATGGTAAGATTACAAGAAAGGAAAATAAAATCTCTTAGAAGTGGCTCCAACTCTATCAAAATAATTTACGAAGGGCCCCGTTACTTGGATTTACTATTGGTTGATTAATCTTCATAGTCACAGTTTATATTTATTGATTTTGTGGATTTTTTTTTAGTTTTCATTGTCTTTTAAATTTTTAAAATTGTTTTAGAATTGTAAGCCCCCCAGACTCACTTGGCTGTAGAAATTAGATAAATAAATTAGCTTTCCTATGAGCGCAACCAAGCAATGCTCCTAGAGTTGGGTTGAAGTATCTCAGAATATACTTCCCTCAAATGGCTTGAGCTTCTATAGGAGCGAATGTCCCTCACAGTATTTTTGGTTTTTTTTGGGGGGGGGGGATACAATGGTAGCCACCATTTTTATTTCCAGCATGCCTCAAAACAACCTTAGCCTTGAGCAATATGAGAAGGCAAAATAGTCACCAGGATGACACAAAATTGTCACTCCAAGGTGCAAGCCAAACTTTTTTACCATTAAGTAAAACAATCATGTGCTTTGACCATCAAGGGAAGAGGGACACAACAGAGACTTTTTCTGTATCTGCATTTTTTTCTATTGCCTTAGTTATAACTAAGTACAAATTATATTACAAATTATTGCTATTTTTTTTTGTGTGTGTGTGTGTATTATATATAATATAGTTGTCAGGTTCAACTTGAGGGATGGCATGAAAGAATGTTAATTTCTTTGGTGCTTTTTGAGACTTAATAGCAATAGCATTTTATATACCACTTCACATTGCTTTTCAGACTTCTCCGAGTGGTTTACAAATGTCCACGTATTGCCCCCAGTGATCTGGGTCCTCATTTTACCAACCTTGGAAGGATGGAAGGTTAAGTCAACTTTGAGCTGGTCAGGATCGAACTCCTGGCTGTGGGCAGAGTTTGCTTGTAATATTGCATTCTAACTGCTCTGCAACCACAGCTCTTTTAATGTTTTGACAGTGAAGCAATGGAAGGGCCAAGAGGCACCATCATTCGGTACTGCTTAGGACATCAGTTGGTCTCAATCTGGCCTGGTACAAGCCCAGTGGGAAGGATTTTAAAAGACAGGAGGAATATACAGTATATAGAGCAGCAGAGGTTTCGTCAGGAAAATAATCAGTTGTAGTTGCAACGTTCTTATTCAAAGTTGAAGAATATGCTTCACTAAATCAGCGAACAGGATACTTTCACATATTTCATTTAAAGTAGTAGCTTTGGGGAAGCCCCTGTTACAGTCAAATCATATGTCATGGTTTGGTTTTATGTTAATGTCACCCTGAAGCAGGGGTGGGATTCAAATTTTTTAACAACCAGTTCTGTGAGTGTGGCTTAGTTGGTGGGCATGGCTTGGTGGGCATGTGACTGGTGGGTGTGGCCAACTCAACATCACTCACATCGAGGCATGCATCTCCTCGCCTGGCCTCTCATGACTGTAGGATTGTTACGACTGCAACAGTCATAAGTGTGAAAAATGGTCATAAGTCACTTTTTTCAGTGCTTTGAATGGTCACTCCACACAAGCAAAGTACCAGCAAAGGAGTGGAAAAAAACTCCATAGAAGTTCCTGAGACAGGAAGTCTAGTCCTGCCAAGAATGTAATAAAGGTTAACGGAGAGGCAGTTTCTGTAAGCAACACCAGAATGTTTCCTTCCTGCCTTACAGGATTAGGCCAGTAATTTCTTCTAACAACCGGTTCTCCGAACTGCTTAGAATGTTAACAACCAGTTCTAGCGAATAGGTGCGAACCTGTAGAATCCCACCCCTGCCCTGAAGGTGTGAGAGCCTTTCCTACCTGGTTCAGCCACAGATTTTCTATGATTTTGCAGGAATTAGCACAGCTCGGTAACAATGTTCATGACACCAACATCCTGTTGCAAATGGACAACAGCCGAGACTTGGACATTGACTGCATCATCAAAAATGTGGAAGCATGGTATCAAAATGTTGCCCAAGGGAGCAAAGAAGAAGTTAATGCTTTTTATGAAAACCGAGTAAGTTACAGGGGCATGCGGTCTTTGCATCTGCTTGGAAAACTATATGGGTCTTATGGAATTCATTCCATTTTTCACATCCTTTCTCTGTCATTCTCCAAAACATCTCCTTGGTTTGTTCCAGAGGAACAATACTTAATTCACGAAATATTAATGCATGCTCCTTTTTCTCTGTCCCACCATTTTTGTCCACCTAAATTTTCTCTTGACCCTGTTCTCTTTAGCATGTCCCTTAGGTCAAAACAGGCTGAAGTTGGGAATGCCTAGGACCCCCACTGAGAACTTTTGCTTATTAAGGCTTTTGGATTGTCCTCACAATCCAATAGGAACTTATCAAGATGTAAATGACATGTGGTGGAAATATTATTAACATGATTTTTTTTTTTTAAAAAAAATTGTCTTGGATATCAGTTCCAGGAGCTTCAGCAACAAAGAGGAAAATATTCCCAAACTCTGAAGATCAACCAGCAAGAGATTGCAGATCTGACTCGTCTGGTTCATAAATTGCAGTCTGAATTTGATATTATAAAAAAACAGGTAGGGGCAACCCTGGTGTGTTATTCCTCATCCCTTTGTTTCAATATACCTATTGTCATTTCTGAAAACCTCATTACGGAGTCCAAACTTGTCAATATTTTTTGTGAATGCTTCCACGAGGGTTGAAATATGCTGTTTATGTTTAGCACTTAGTAAAACATTGGCAATTTGTGGAAATTGCCATTGTTTTTTTTAATCTCAACTGCCCTCCATAATAGCATTAGCACTCCTGCTGGTTTGTGTACTGTCCCTACAACTTCACACATGACAGGAATATTTATATCCTCTGTTTATGTCAGGCAACAGGACTTCTTTGAGGTAAAATAGTTTAAACAAGAATAAAAGCAAGCTTGGGCATCTATGGGAAGATGAGTGATATTTGTTTGTTTATTATTTATTTATTTTGACAAGCATGTTTTAGATAACAGATATAGTTGGAAACATGATTAAATGTACATGAAATGGGTACGAATAATAGGGGACCTTAGGACAGGGACAGTAGGCACGTTGGTGCTCTTATGCATGCCCCTTACAGACCTCTTAGGAATGGGGTGATATCACACATACATTCGCATCATAACATCACGAAGCGACTGACCTGAATTATGTAATTTGCATAGTTTGTGTGTGATGGCATTGTGACATGCGTGGTGTCACCATGGCTTCCATCAAAATGAAATGGTATAGGTAGGATTTCCTGTATGAGCAGGGGGGCTGGACTAGAAGACCCCCAAGGTCCCTTCCAGCTCTATTCTGATTCAATGGATGGAAAATCCTATAAATACAAAATTCTTTGTTTCCCCCTAGATCGGGGGTGTAAAACTCAAGGCCCATGGGGTGCTTAAATCTGGCCCACGGGACTGGCCTGGAAATAGCAAAGGACCAGACCGCAGTGCCTCTGCTAGTGAAAATCAGATGCATGGGGCCACATGCAGCCCCATATGGCTGGTTTTCAGCCTGGATGACCTCCTGCAGCACCCTAATGGCCAAAATGGGGCACAGAGGGGACCATGCATGGGTCACGTGTGCCCTCCCATGCCCCATTTTGGCCATCAAAGTGCTACAGGAGGTGTTCATCCCATTTCCCCCACCCAACCAGCCCACAGAGGAGAACTACAATGCTGATTTGACACCCCTGCCATAGATGTAAAGGTAGTGGTGATTTTAACAGATTCTCTTTTCCACAATTGTTCTTGATTGGTTTCATTATGAGATTATAATCCTCCTCCTGTTTGGTAGAGGACAATCTCTATTTGAATTAGTAATTTAAGGCCCCTTCTGTTTGAGGAATCTTCAACCAAGGTCAAATTTAAAGATAAGGAACCAGAAGATGGCAAGACAGGGCCCCTGAAGTTGTCCACCAATGGTCAATACCTGAGCAACAGGCTTAGCAGGTGTGGAGGTTGCCTAGTTAGTTTTCTTCTCCAAATTGAGTTGTGATCTATTTTTATTGACAGTGAAAGCTATTACACACAAGTAAGTCCTTTAAGCAAATCTACATTATTGTTGGTCTACTTTATTTGGGAATAATTTCTCATTTTCCTGACAATGGATGATTTGCCAGTCTATTCCCTTGATCCAAACTTGTGAGCGAAGAAATTGAAAGTCAAGAAACAGAGTTGAAAATGAATACAAAGAATGAAAGAAAGCACTGATGTTTGTATGGCTGGGTTTCCATATTTTTAATATTTACTGTTCTTACTGTAGGATACTAAATTCCTCTTGCTTATTGAACAAGTTGGATTTTGTGGCCAAGTTCTTTGTGTTTTTCGTTTTTTACATCCTATTCCAATTTTTCTGTCTATATTAGTCACTTCATTTCTCTCTCTCTTCCTATCAGGCCCTCCTGGACAGTATTTTTCCTTCTGCTCTTTCCTTTCTCTGTCGTTGCAATTATGGTGATTTTCATCTCTTTTTTTTAATATGGATGTTGCTTTCATTTCTTCCTTCAGACATTTTCAATCTAATGTTAATTTCTGCTTAGCTCAACTATTGTTTCATTTTGATTGGATGCTTTCTCACAATTCTAAATTCAAAACACCAAAAACTTAAAATGCTTCTCAATTTTTAGCCTTGACTTTTTTTTGTTTTTTTGGCTATTGGTTATTGGCTATTCAAGTCCACAATCTGACATGCTAAACATGCGTTTCTTTTTCCTTATTTGTGTTATTACAAACGGGCATGCACCGCGGTGCCATTTTCTCATTCATTGATTCAGTGTGGACTTTGCTTGTCTGTTCTGAACAGGTTAATGCTTTCCAAACATCCATTTGTGAGGTTGAGCAGCATGGAGATTGTACTCTGAAAGATGCCCGGGATAAGCATATCGATCTGCAAACTGCTGTACAGAAGGCCAAGGATGACTTAGCAAGGCTGCTAAGGGATTACCAAGAGCTTCTCAACACCAAGCTCGCTCTCGACATTGAAATTGCTACCTATAAGACATTGCTGGAGGGAGAGGAGAGCAGGTGACTATGAATGACATTCAATGTCAACTAAAAAGATACTGCTTTGGTCTTTTTAGCTGCCAGCAGAAAGAGAGTGGGGGAACATAATGCATTCTTCAAATGCCTCAGATAATTGCTTTGGCAACCGAAGCTTCTGACACACAAAATTATTACTGGAGAGCATGATTGATGACTCTTGGCTATGGATGTGTTCTCATTGGAGAATATATATCCAGAGAGTGGGGGGAAGACCAGGGTCAAGGGTGAAATGAATGATGTGTCAGAGTCCGCTGCAACCGGGAAACACCGACATGTTAACTCCAAATAAATCAATCTTTTTTACTCTGAGAGATGCGGCTAGAGACTTATGATTTGAATGGGGGTGTATGTCGGAGTCCTGACATTCAATATATCCCAAATGAAATGTGAAACTCCTTCAGATTCTTTTCTCCTCCTTTTTAACTCAGGCAACTTTGTCAGCTGAGAAGGAACCTAGTATTTCTCCCGAGGCAGAAATTTGTTCCTTAAATAAACTTTAGCCACAGGGCAAATTCTGTCTTGAATTTTTTTTTTTTTACAGTAGTATCCCCTTCATGGACTCTAGCTTTTTCAAGGTGGAAACCTTTTAGCTAATGTTAGGTTTGGCTTTCAGATCAGATCTTTGGCATGTCTATAATTAGGCATGAAAGGCCATATCATTGTATTCGTTCTTCCTACTGCCCACCCCTCTCAAATAACCTATGTTTTAAGACGGTTTTTCTTCCTCTGTCATTGTTGGACATAAACCAGTAGGTGGATGTGTCAGGATTTAATAATTGTATACAGCTAGTCCTCAATTTATGGCCGCAGTTGAGCCCAAAATTTCTGCTGCTAACTGAGACAGTTGTTAAGCAAATTTTATCCCATGTTATGACCTTTCTTGCCACAGTTGCTAAGTGAATCACTCTGTTACACTACTAATAGAACTGTCAAGTGAATCTTGCTTCCCCATTGATTTGGCTTGTCAGGAGGTTGCAAAGAAAGCAACCTCATGACTCTGGGACACTGCAAATGTCATAAACGTGAACCAGTTGCCAAGCATCCAAATTTTGATCACATGACCATGAGGATGCTGCAACATTCGTAAGGGTGACAAACATAAGTCACCTTAACTTCGAACCATCACTAAACAAATGGTTGTAAGTTAAGGAGTACTGTATTTATGGTTTTCTGAATAAGCGTATTCCAATAGTTTTATAAGCCAAACCCGCCTCAGATAAAATGAAGAAAAATTAGCCAACTTGTTTGGTGGGCCCAATATGCCGACTCTGTGAAACTGCTTAGAGAGGGCTGTAAAGCACTATAAAGTGATATATAAGTCTAAGTGCTATTGCTATTCCAAAATTACAATTACAAAAGGCCATGGGCAGGACAAGGAACTGGGATGTCTTTCTGAAATAAGTCATCAGGCTATCTGATTGCAATGGAATCTTCTTTTTCCTCCCCATAGGATACACTTAGGAAATCCTGTCTGTATAGGTAAGTAAAAAGCATGAAAATATGGTGGGTTATATCATCAGTTATATGCTTTTTAGGGACTGCATGTATGCTATAGTTCCAGTTTGAGCCAGCTGGTATTAAGGCACCAGATGGAGACCGTGAGTTCTAGTACCACCTTAAGTATAAAGCCAATAGGGAGACCTTGGCCTTGTCCCTCTCTCTAAACTGTAGGAAAGAGCAATGGCAACACATTTCTGAAATCTTGCCAAGAAAACTGCAGAGACCTGCCATGAGTTAAAAACTGACTAAAAAACAACAACACTTCTGTTGGGAAAATCAAGATTAGGATTTGAACTGGTCCATGTTCATCAGTTGATGTGTGTATAATTTTCCTCCAGGCTGCAATAGTTGTGTTATTATCTAAATCTTCCATCCTCTCTGCATCTTTTTGGTTATTTATTATTACTTTCCTATCCACCGTTAAGGTGGATCACATCAGTAAAAATAGAAAAGTTCAATCCAAATAACCTTTGCACAATAACAGTCCTATTTAAAAGAAACAAAGAAAGAAATACCAACAACCTAAACAAACTCCAGAGTTAAAGACCTGGCAGGAGAGATGCATTGGTTTTCTAGCTAGTATGACCAAATAGTTGTCTTTTTATTTCTTATAATCGGCTTATTCCCATTTTTGTGCGGGTTTTTTCTAGAGGGAAAACTTTTTCTACAGCAAAGCTGTATTTTTTTTATTTTAGTTTACTTTGGAAGAAGAGTTAGAAGGGATTCATTTATCACTTTCATTACACATTCTTGAAAGTATTAAAGCAATCGTATTTCAAAGATAAGGTGGGAAATAGGTTTCCATAGGTCTCTGGATCACACAAGTTGACTTTTCTACTTTTTCTTACAGATGTGATCAAACCCGGAACAGTGAATGCAGCTGGATTCCCATTTTCAAGTGGATATGGTCCTCTGGGTGGAGGATATGATAGGGGATTTGGTAAAGGATATGGAATGGAAAGTCAGGGGAGAAGCAATAGGAACTACAGCTCCAGAAGTACTGGATTTGATCAAAGTATTGGAAGGAGCAATACAGTTCCCAGGAATGTATCAGCAGATACAGAGTTCCACCAAGGAAGAGGGCATAGCTATAGGAATGAGTCCAGCTCTGGTAATCTCTCTGCAGGCATGCGCCGCTCCTCTACAGAAGAGGCTGGTAGAGGTGCTGGCTATGGCCCAGGTGCAGGATTCAGCACACGAACCGCCTATGGATCCGTCTGCGGTGGAGGAAGGGGATATAGGTCTACGGCTGTGGTAGGGGATCTCCCCGATGGAAGCTACCCCCGTGAAGGTTATGAATCCTCAGGGATTGCTCCATTGGGAGATGCGGGGTGGTGCTCTAGGGCAGGAGCCCCAAGGGGGGTTTCAGCTGAAGGGAACCTGTCCTCTGTAGGTGTAGGTGCAGTAGGGGGTGTGTGTTACTCTGGACCAGCAGGAGGTCCTGCAACAGTGTGTTACTCTGGATCACTCGGGAGTCCTGCAGGGGTGTGTTATGCGGGACCAGTAGGAACTTCTGGGGTACTGTGCTACCCTCAGGCTGTAAGGCTTTTTTAAAGAGATTGGGACAGTCTTATTTTTAACATTCAGCAATCCATCTACTATAAAGTTGGTCATAGATCCTGACAGCACAATAAAAATTCAAAAATGTCTCCTAAACCCTTTGGAACTATGTCCATGACTAGTAACCCATTCTCTATTTGTATTTTGGTGAATCTATTACTTTAAGCAAGATATTTGCCACAGAATCATTTTCTGTCAAGTCCACCATTTTTCCATGTATTTTTGGCACTGGCTTTTTTTTTCTCTTACTAAAATTTTATACTGATGTTTTATTCACAAATTTGTATTAACTGGAAAACAAATGCATTGTTTTAGGAGAGGGGCTGGAGTATTTTTTTAAAGCTATTCAAACTACTCTTTTTCATGGAGTTGAATTCTCAAATATTCTGCTTTCTACAATTGAAGTGTTTGGGGATGTTGGCCTCTTGCCATGATGCATAATCTTTTGATAGTATTGCATTAGGGACTGCATGTTGTCAAAAACTTGTATTATTCTCTCCAGCCAATGAATAAAGAATTAAAACTCTTTCCAGTTACATTTACCTGTGATTGATTGATCGATGATTTCTCCTGCTGAATCAAAACAGACTCATGGCAGTTTATAATAAAGCTGATAAGGAAACATACATAAAGCAATTAAGATGTCATAGAATAATTCTATTCTATCATATGACATTGAAGAATATTGTATTCTTTGTATTTCTGTTTTTAATAGAAATAGAAATAAAAATATAATGAACCATATATAATGAAATCCAATATCAAAATTACAAAAAATGTGATGATGGTAATAAGAACAGAGAAAAATGAACTTGTAACGAAAGCAGATACAAAAAATGTTAATTAAAGTTAAAGGAAATTTAAATAGTGAGGACAAGAACCAAGTGTTTAATCAAATGATATGTGGAAATAGAACTATCTTTAATAGCTTCTAGAGCACTAGAAGGCATGATGCAAGTATTAAATACTAAGGGGAAGATATAACATAAGATTGGAATATTTTCTTGTTCCCTCTCAATTATGCTAGTATAATGAATGAAGCCTAGGATAATCAGGAGTTGTTTTTGAGAAAGACATTAGAAGAGAATATGTGTAGTTTGAGTTCTTGACTTCTTCTTATGCATTTATTTATTTATATAAAGTTGAATGGACTTACTTAACAATGAGCTCTATAAAATGATGAACCATTATTATTGTTTTGGCTGTGAGAGACAGGATTATCAAAAGATCCTTCTCAAAAATTATAACAGTTCTAAAAGAAAATTGGATCCATCAGCACTAGAAACTGAAAAAGACAAAAGACTAATAGACATATACTTCAGTTCATAGAATGAGAAATTCCAAACATCTTCCAACCTGTCTATCTTCCATAAAGGAAAAACTCAGGCTAATGATGATGTCAGACTGATACATCATGACATCACTGTGAAATTATTCAAGTATGTAATTCTCATCGTGACATCTCCCCACTTCCCCTTCCTTGAAGAGAGATTAATGAAGCAGACTTCACCTAGAAGCTGGGTGACACATATGCTGATTACTGTACATTTAAAATGACAATAAAGTTATTATTCTATTCTATTAAGAGAATAGAATAATAACTTTATTGTCATTTTAAATGTACAGTAATCAGCATAGGTTGACTCAGCCTTCCATCCTTAGAGAGGGCTGTAAAGCACTGTGAAGCGGTATATAAGTCTAAGTGCTATTGCTATACATTAAAATGAGAATTTGTTGCATACAGCTCTAAAAAGGGTAGCCACTTCCAAAATACACTACATGAACATAACACGTGGAGGGCTTCGTGGCTGATTTTTGGAAGTATAAGCTTGTTGTAATATCATTTTCTACTGTAAATCTGCAACAATTAAGAACCCATTGTAATTTCTCAATGGAGGCAGGCATACACTGAGGGCGTATTCATTT